TTAGAAGCATTTAAAGTCCTAATTTTGACAATACTCAACAAAATCATGAAAGTTATCAAATTATTTTGTAGTTAATAATAAATTAAATTTTAAATTTAAATACTAGGGGCATCTAAAGGTTGAGACTTGAAAATATAGAATACAAAGTTCCTCATATCTAAGTAATTCTTAGTTTTTATATAGACACATTAAATTAAAACGATTTTGGTTATTTTTTATTGTTCCTAAATATATTATTTAAAAATATTATTTGTCAAGACTTGAATCCTTAACATAATATACGTATTAATGTATTATTATATTTTAGTAGGTACTTAAATATAGGCATTTATGATGATATAAATGTTTGATAATAATCAAATTATTTAAATATTATCATTGAAGTAACGAATAATTCGGATTTAAATTTTAAATCAGTTATTCCGTAATTGTTACTTAATATCCTAACAGGATTACAAAAAAAAACAAAAAACCGAAGGTTTAACTCTTAAATCTGGTTAGTGTTTTTACGTAACTTTATAATGTGTAAATAAAATATTACTGTTTTTTAATCACAAATTTAGAATGGATAGACTAGATATCTTAGATTATATGTATAATAAAATTGTCTTTTTAAATCTAAGATTTGAAAATTTAATACAAGATTTCTTACAAGTTTGTCAATCTTTATCACAAATAAAAAGTCCACCAGAAATTGAAATTAAATTTTTATGAGCATTTGAAATTTAAATTTTTACAACATTGAATTTTCACTGRATTTCAAATTTAGTGATTTTCTTATTTTGGTGTAACTCTAAAAGTCTAAAACAAATRAHCGCAGATRCTTGAAATTTTYWCTGAATRTTTATATAGRCATTTTCTATATTTGATAACATTTTCAAAATATTTAGATTTGTTTTGAGCTGTTTACTGACATTTAAATTTTTCAACTTTTTTAGTTTTTTTTTCTATAAATATCGATAAAAATTGATTTGTTCGGTAGAAAAGCTTGAAAATTTAATACAAAGCTCTTAACATATTGTTACAATAGCAGTTGGAAAATAAAAGAAATTTATAGTCACAATCAGTGTCGGCCTGGTACTTAAAAAGGGCCCCGGACAGGCCGGACGCATTTCTTCAAAGGGGACCCCAAAAATGTTATTTCATTAAATGATAAGAAAATGATTATAAGTAGTGAAACATTAGTTTTCACTGTTTTCAGTAATATCGGGGCGCCTCGACACAAAGGCGTCCTGGGACCCCGGATGAGACTAGCAACCRTGGCCAGGCCGACACTGGTCACAATTTTATTTAAGTTAGAATTTAATAAAAAAATTTCTTTTTAAATCTAAGATTTGAAAATTTAATATAAGATTCTTACAARTTTGTCTATCTTTATCACAAAAAAAAAATATCCTCCAGAAATTCAAATTACATTCTATGAGCGTTTGAAATTTAAATTCTTACAACAGTGAATTTTCACTAGATTTCTCATTTAGCGATTTTCTTATTTTTGGTGTGACAAATAACTTAACGATACCAAAAAAATGTACCACTCAATTTTATAACTTGTAAAGTTGTAAGATAATTTGAAAAACATAAAATTAAATAAGGTGCCCGTATCCCATATACGGTATACGCGTATACGTATCTATAGTTATACAGATAACTCATAAGACCGTTAACCAATTTAATTTATATATTCATTATTAATCATAAATCCATAACCAATTATACACATAAATTAACTTTATTATACAAGTTCATTTTAAGATGTTATTTTTATGTAAATTATTAATTTTGGTGTATTTATATATTATATAGTGATGTATTACTTTAATTACTTAGAAATTTATAATGTGTACGTATTGACTTATTGTATTTAATATAATTATGACTTTATAAGTATTTATGCATTTACAGTATAGTGAATTACTGAATTATGTATGAACATTTAAAAATATTTTTTAAATATTTAATTTCTCTCAAATTTGAAATTTATATATCTACAATGTTTATATTTCTACTTACAGTAGGTATATTATGAACTCGCAAGAAATTTTCAATCCTTAGCTATAAATATAAAACATTTATTATGAGCTATTATCTACAAAATAATTTTCACATTTTCGTGATTTTRTTGAATTTTGTCAAGATTTGAAATTAAAATACTTWAAAAAAAAATCATGCTTATATGYGTATTCATTTTTTTTTAAACTGCTATATATAATATGGTTTACTATATAATGTCGAATGTAGCAAAAACTTATTTATRGACAATAATCTAAAAAAAAATTAAACAATATTGGAAATTGAAAATATATTTAAATAATAAAAATAACTTAAAAGTTAAAATATTTTTTTAATGTTATCCTTATTAAAAATAGAAAATGATAAATTAAACAATTGATGAAAATGTCAAGTTCTATTTTTACTATAGTTATCATAATTATTCATTTTTTAATTACAATTAAATAATAAAATTATGATTGCTGAAAATCCAATGTAAAAATTTGAAACACCAATGAACAATGAATATGCATTTCTGCTAAACTTTTAGATTCTGAACGGAGTGATGAATGTATTGATTTTACAATGATGTGTATTTTTTTTTGTTTTTTTGTATGTGTCTGTGTAAAACATAACTAGTCGAAATAATGCTTCAATTTCAAACTTTGGGGGTGGTTTCCAATGGAAAAGTGAATATCCTTGGTGCACAATAGAGGTCAAAAGTAAACATTTTCCAACAGTTTTCAAAAAAATCGAAAAAAACAAAAAAAAAGTGACAGAAAAATGAGAATTTTTACGCAAAACCAGTTTTCGAACAAATCGATTTTTTTATATGGTTGTAATTCAATAATTAATCACTGTAAATACTTGAAATTTTCACCAAATGTTTATGTTAGTGTTATCTATATACAGTTTAATTTTCAAAAAGTTTTGACTTTTTTTGAGTTATTTATAGACCACTGAAATTTTCAATTTTTTTGAGAAGTGTCGGTAAAAAAATGTTTGACGACCAAAAAAACTTGAAAATTTAATACAAGGTTCCTTA